TTTTTTTGTCTTTAATCCATAATCATCAAAATTGAAACAAATAAAGGCTTGAAATATTTCACTTTGTGTGCAGTGAACTAATATAACTTACAAGTTTCACTTTTTGAAACAAATTATTGAAATAAATGGACTTTCCCTCGATATTCTAATTTTTTTGGCACATACCTGTATTAATGTGCCTGGGCATTGTTTTAATCCTATACTTGTTCAACATCAGTGGAAATTTATAAGGACAGAGCTTCTCTGTGATGTTGTTTCACCATCATGCCAGCAGATGGTATTACATGCCCAGGAACACGGGGAAACTTGCCTCTGTGCTCTACTGTGATAATTCCAGCAGATGGCACACTAACCTTACATTTAGATATGTCGTTACAGCCAAGTTGAGAACACCAACTTTTATTAAGTGTAATCAATAACAGCATAGTGGTAATTTTTTTTTCCTTGCTGTCTAAATGCTGTTCCCACTCAGCAGGTTAATACAGAGACATTTCTAACAGTGCCATGTGCTATTTGCTGCAGCTTCACGTGGGCACGTCAAACTGCTGTGGTGTTGCCTCAAGCTGTCTAGCAAATGTATTCTGGCTGCTCATTTACCTCATTAGTTTTAATAAATCAGTAATTGAAATTCATCAGAAATTCTTGTCAGTGCACTCCCCCCTGGTGTCAGTGGGCTTTCAGCACCTGCTCAGGCTCCATTACCGGGGGTCCTTGCTGGGCCCTCTCATACTATAAAGTGACAGAGCATTAGTCACTGAGATAATCAACCTCAAGACAGTGTTTACTGCCAGTGCTCTCCAAGAACTATTTACTTCACATGCCAGTTGATGTCTTACCACAGAAGAAGTTGTCCACCTGATAAATAGTGAGATGTTCACAGATCACCTTGTTTTTCAGCTGACTGATTAAGCGTAGAAGTGCTGAACAGCTGGATACTGCTTTTATTTACTGTTTGCCATCTGCTTAGAAGTCATGTTCCTCCAGAGTGTCCTATGTACAGTACATTTACATTTCCCTATGAACTTCATCACCATCATATTATATTGTGCAGGCAATGCACAATGTTAGCTGTGAGAAGCATCCAGTGGTCAGAGCTGAACCTCCAGCCTCTGACTCTGATGTCCTCATCAGCATATCTTTGTTAACTTTTAGTAGTGAGGAAATAAGTCTTTAATACATACATCGTATTTTAATTATGCCTAGATCTAAGAATTCTCTAGTTATTTGTCCAGTGTAGCAAAGTATTCCCTAGCATCTGGTCCATGCGTATAAGCTGTTCATTCTATACATACATTGTAAGCTTGGTTTAAAATGTATTAATTTCTGAAAGTAGCAGGCTACAAATAGCAAATGGCATTTTTTTCATTCTCATGGAATAAATGAAACTAATGAACATGGCTTGATATCAAAATAATTTACACCTACACCATTTAAACACAAATCAAATGCAAGACATCATTTAAAAACACCAAACACAATGATCAAGAAAAGCAAAAAAAAAGTAAAGAACCATGGTAGATGAAGATAATGAAGGTAAATTAGGTAAATTAGCTAATGTTTCAACATTGAACAGTATAGAAATAACAAGATAAAACTAGAATGTGTTCTATTTTTTTATCCTATATGTGGACCTGCTACAGTGCCTTCATTAATTTTAAGTCACTTACTAATAATCTTTTTGATAATAGGTTTAAAAGCCAGCCATAATATCAAACTGTCACAACATACAGGGGTTACACTTAACCCTGGCTACCATCTGCACATTTATGATACCACTGTCTACATCTCATTTATTTCTAGGGGTAAAACAATGGTGGCATTTTTGGTAGTTGTAACCTGGATATTCACCGTTTGACCAAATTAATTCTTCTTGTCTGTCTACTTTAATGCAACTCCTCTCCTATGGTCCCCTCTGTATGGAGAGCCACCATCAGGCCACAGGTGTTTTCTATCAGTCCCTGTGTCTGTGTGTAGACCTCAGTTAGACCAGAGCAGGACATAAACTGGCTCTAAAATACATGACACACAATTTAATGGGCAGGGACTGCAGTCAGGCCTTGACATATAACTCTGATAATGTTCCTGTAAATGGCTGGCCTCTGCGGTGTATTTCATTCTGGAGAATTAGTCCTGTTTAACAGCTGCTGTTATAAAGCATCAGTCCCGCCCAGGTCTGAGTGCAGCAAACTATGGCTACTTGATTGACGATTCGTAAGATTTTTTATTTATTTATTTAAATTCTATAACATCAATGAAATTATAACAAAACAAGATGGAGGATGGACATCCCAGCTGCAGGATTCGTTCTTTGCTTATTTGTTTCATTATTTATTTTTTGTTGAGGTTGAATTGTGTTACAGAGAAGTGATCCTGAAGACTCCCAAGCCTAAATCATTCCAAGGTGATGAGCCGCAAATCAAAAGGAGTAGCATGGGGTGAGTTATCAAGTTTACCTTTGTCTGTGTTGTTAATCTAGCAATTCAAGGCCTTATTAGTCGGACCTTAGGACTGTTCCAGTCAGTGTGAAAATAGAGAACTGACACAGATAAGCAATGGCAACATATTTATTCTGCACGCCACATGTTGATCCAGTAGTGTGGGAGATATACTTGGGCAAAAATGCCACTAATTGACTCCTTCTGTAGATATGTTGATCAATTACAGATAACACAACACATTTGTTAAATTCATTAATTATAAATTCTAGTTTTGTGTTTGTATTACAACTGTAAAACTTCTTCCCTTAAAGAGGAAAAGTTCTAATGAAAAATAGGCCACTTCAGAAGAATTTTATATGTGCCTGACAAACAGTGATAACCATTTTGAGAAGCGACTTGATGTTGACTGTAAGCCACGCTCTTTTAAGCCCATGTTTGCTCATTTGATAAAAAGAGTCACTGTCACTTGTTCACTTTGTCAACCAGGAGAACTCCTGAGGGCGAGATGCTCCTTAATTATACTTAGTGGCGTTTACTCTCACTAAACGCCCCAGTTCCTCTCACATGGTGCAGTGTTTGGGGCTGTGCTTGTCATTTACTGATGTGGTGGAAAAAAAACAAGAAAGCCTTATGCAGTGCCAGTTGTTTGCTCATGAAGTTTTTGCTCCAGTGAGGTTAAATTCATACAATGATTTTCAGCTTTCAGCAGTGAAATAGTCTGATATCTCTAAGATTGACTGAACTTCCCCTATCACTACAGCTACAGTATATACAGTAGAAATGTTGTGCATTTTATAGGTTTATAAAATTACACGACAATGTGTTTTATGTGATTTTACTGTAAGTAATTTCTGTTTAACTTTAATGTTTTCCAGAGTGTATTGATGATGTGGGTCTGTCTGCCTTAAAGAAGCTGTTCAACCTACAAGAATTTAATTATTCTGGGAGTCAATGGAAAATAAAGAGGTTTAGTGATGCTGTTGCAGAGGATAAGAACTGAAATCTGTTGTAAGCACTCACAAATCATTGTATCCTGGCTTGAAAATGGCCGAATTAAAGGTACTAAAAATTGCCATAATGATCATCAGTGACCTCATTGCATCAGAAGAGGCCTTTAAAATCCCTTATCAGCTGAACCCTACAGATAATATCAGTTGTATTTTCTTGCTGTTATTACTGAGGGTGATGCGTGTCTCACCTGCGCCTATGTTAGGGAAAAGATAGAAGAGTTCCACTTAAAACTGATCATGACTCAGTGCAGTCCTGCTAGAAGTTAATACCAGAAACCGGGATATTTGTGCTTAATCCCTGTCAAGAGAAGAAGAAAATAATATGGCTTTATTTTTTTTTTGTGCATTAATCAACTTGTATCTTGTCTTTTGCTTTTATTAAATGCCTTTTCTGGCTCATTTCCATCCTTTCACTGGATCTTAAATATCCTCCCTCTCATGGGCGTGAGCTTGATTGTGCATAGGAAATGAAGTTTGAAACTTTGGAGCTCTATTTAAAGTGCTGGTCCCTTGAGTGACCCCTCTGCTTTAATAGCATAGAACCGTGTTCGCTAAGTCCTTACATTTTATTTCACCTCGTCTGTGTTCCTGACTAAATCCGTTCTAATAAAATGTTCTGCTAAATTGTCAAATGGTTCTGTTTTCTGTCCCTAAAAAGGCGTTTACATCCCTGGTGAGAATTTAAACACAATAAACATAGTTGTTTAATTTGATAAATCACAGTGGAGGTGAACGGAGGTATTTGTTATCTCATCTAGGAGCTGTGAGTCACTCTGACGCTGCCTTACATCCAGAGGAGTTTGAGTTTCCCTGCAACACTGAACATTACTGAGAGACAGTGTAAGATCTGTGTGCAAGTATCTTTAATGCAATTTTGATTTTTTTTTTCAATTTTGATATTAAAATGTATTTGTACAATTTTTTTCTGAAGTGTCTGAAATTATTACAGTGCATAAAAATACGGTAGGATTTAGGTTTATTTGACATTGAAACATATAGGTTGTTCTACAACTGTATATTTATTTATTTACTGTATATGTAAATGGATTATCAGATGTCACCATGCACTGTTCTAATCTGTTGCAGCTGTGCTAGGATATTTGTGCATAGCATTTTTTCTTCCTCTAGGTTCTCACAAGGTATGATTCTACTGGCAAATCAATACAGGTATTGATGGGCTTCTGATAAAAAAAGCATTATGGCAACCAGCTCTAATACTTCAACTGAATTGATTTCATTTTAAATGATCCATGTACTTCCAGTGGGTCACGCCACCACCACGAGTGTGTTTTATCTTGACTTCATGGGAGAGAGACATTATTCATCACCAGGAGAATGTCCCTTCTTCACACCCCAATAAAAAGCAGAGTAATGAAGCTTCAGTGGGTGCTGTCATGCCAGCACTGCTTCATAAAGGATGACACAATTATATTTTACCAGCTCACCAAAAATGCTGACAAGACCTGGTTCAATAAAATGCAATCTGTACAGAGAGAATCATGCTGGTTTCGTTTCTCTGGAGTCATAGCTCATGAACTACAGGGTGTTGCTGCCTTGGGATGCTCCTCAAAGAACTTTGTCTCCTGACATTTAAGCAAGAAGAAAGTGGGTGTGTTAGGATTAGGAATAAAGAGTGATATATCAGTTTTGTGTTAGAGGGGTTCTTTCTTGTCATGATTTCTTGTATTCTCTTCAACATTCATTGTTGCTGGGCAGTAGCTTCACAGGTCGATTCACGGGCAAATCTGAACTCCACATTTCCCACTCTAATAAATGCATAAACAGAAATGAAATTTGCCTCTGAGCAACCACAGGCTAATGCCGCATTGCCATCAATCAGTCAACTTGGTAAATGTTTATCTAAAGTATGATGGATGATTTGCCGACAGACTTAAAAGGCAACTGCTTCCGAAACCTGAAATCTTGTCAACCTGATGCTCAAGACAGTTGACGCCCTACAGCTTGACGCTTACCAGTGGCAGGATATGACTGCTTCTTAGTGGACAGCATGTTCTTTAACTTGGAAAAAGACACATCTGGACTTGAATATTCTCTACTTAGTCTTCTTTGTAATATATGCAAAGCTGTGCTCCATGTAATCCCCCAACTACTCTGTTTTCAATTGCCAAGGGTAAAAGGTGCAATGGGATGTTGTATATTGTATTTTTTAACCTACTCTTACTGCTGCCACTGTGAGTTTGCCCATTTTAGAAGTTACTTGTGTATAAATGTGAGACAGAATAATCATTACAAAAGCATAAGCAGGGCTTAATAGCATAGTTTCTATTTTGCAGATGTTTCCCTATTTCATTTGACACATCAATAGCCACATGTGCCCTGATCAGCAAAATACAATAGTCACTGGGAAAGTAATCACAGCTCAGAATATAGCTGTATTGTTATTCATTAGCATTCTTGATAGTGTGCAAGTAAACCTCATAATTATGCTTTGTGAAAGGAAATCTGAAAAAAATTTAGATTGAACATCATGCAATGTTAATGGTAATGAAATATGCAGTGCATAGACAGACGCCTGGAGCCCTAGGAATATAATATGTACTAGTAGTGTCTCACTTGTTTATTTATTAACAGAGGAATTGTCTGCTTCACTTGCTATCACTGAGGCTTGACAGCTGCAGAGTCCAGGTGATGCATGAGCCAATGTGGGGAGTGGAGAGGGCTCAACGTCGCACATCAATATGAAAATCAGTTTCTGGTAGAAATAGCCCAAGGCAGTACATCCAGCTCTGAAAAGTGACTAATCTCAGGGTCATAAACCCTGCACAAGACGCCTAGGGTCTTTTTAGAGAGACAGAATTCAGAAATGCCATCATTTTCCAATCCACAAGCCACAAGGACCTCGCTCCTTGCATTAACAGATTTCTTTTAATAGTGTGTGAAATAGCAGGGTTGCCAGAACTAAGCAAGAGCAAATAAAAAAGAGTGAGGGGGGCAGTGAAAGGTGACCTTAGTCTCTGGAACGCCAGATTAAAAACTTCAAATGCTGAGCTAAAGGCTCTCCTAAAGAAACCAAAAGTCCATAGGCACATTGTTACAGTAGATGGAGGTGGCTTCCAAATATCATCGTCTTACAGAGAGGGATTATGAATTTCACAAGGCAGTGGTAGTCCCATTAGTGAGAACAGCAGTTCACATACCGTTCTCTAGGTTGCCTTATATTTCAGGGTTTTTTTTTTTCTGATTTTCAGAACTTCTTATTTCAGTTTCAGAACTTCAAATTTTCAATTTTTATATAAAATCTCTGGCCTACATGAGGACTCAACCAAACTAAAGGTAGTGGTATATACATTACAATAGATACAATACAATGGCCATATTTTATTGTTAGCCAACAAAACCAACTCATATAAGAATGACTATTTTATCACTGTTCACATGATTTTCGAGCTAAAGTTACTGAAACCTGGCAGTTCAGCAGCATCATTGTCGCCAGCATTCCAACATTCATTTGAATGGCTGGACATTGCACATGGCTTAATAATAACTCCGCTCACTTGATTACAGACTTGACTTCCCAGAAAAAATAGCAAGAAAATGATTTTACTCATGAGGAAAGTGAAACAGTGGCTCTCCAAATCCTTGAATGGATTTCTATCTCAAAGCTCATGGTGGATACAGTTTGAAGTGTAGCATCGCCGGGTGCTTTAATTACTGTGCATTGACTACTCTGAGTCCTTGACCTAGTTTAGATTTCTTATCTCTCTCTCACACACACACACACACACGCACAAACAAAAAACAAACCACAGCCATGCTCTGAGCAAAGATTACTTTTTAAACTTTGGGAAGAAGAGAGGGCAGACAGAAAACAAGCTAATGTTATTGTACAAATACATAAAGGGGGACACAACCCAGAGCCATTTGGAAAGCAATAGCCCATTCCAAGATGCGACATTGGGCCGGTATCCACATAGCTCTTATATTCCTTTTATCGAGCCAGATGGCTATGGAATTACACATTTTTAAATCTGAAGTATGAACCTCTCCAGGCTTGGGGGAAATCTTCTTAGACTAGCTATTTTCCGATTTATTTGCAGAGATAGTCTCTTTCCC